TGTTGAGATGTCGGGATATCATATGTGGAGGCTATGATAAAAATTTCAGAAGATTTCGTGCACGTTGTCACGTACGATTCTTACAAACCAGGACATCTCTACATCATATATCAGATATCATATGTGGAGATGTCCTGGTTTGTAAGCATCGTACGTGACAACGTGCACCAAACCTTCTCAAATTCTTATCATAGCCTCCACATACGATATCACGACATCTCAACAACTTTTATGATTTTCAGATTTCGTTTGCTTTTTGTAGAACTTAAAAACACTGCGCATGCAAGTTCGCGGTCATGTTTCGTGAACAAGATGTCCGAAATTTCGGGTCCGTTCCTGGATACGGCCTCACACTACACTCAGTAACATGACTATCATTTTTTGAATCATTAAATTCCATTACTTGTACCATGTGCAGTTCAAATTTATATTTTTCGAAAAAATTCAAGTAAACGAAATAAAGTAACTAAATATATCAAAAAGTTACAAAAAATCCTCAAATTCTAATTAGAAGTTCCTGGTACTTTAAAAGGGCTGCACAAAAAATTTGGAGGTAAAAAACAAAAAAAATAAAAAAACTTTGCCGAGTGCCAGGGCATGGCAGTCGGCAAAGGGTGTCTTTGCCGAGTGCCAGGATAAAGCACTCGGCAAAGAGGATTCTGAATTTTTTTTTAATTTTCTCTTTGTCGAGACACAAAGACAAAAAGACATTTCAAATAAAAAAAATATTTACCGAGTGCTACCCCGCACTCGGCAAAGCTGCCTCCTTTGCCGAGTGGCTCCCTGATCCGGCGCTCGGGAAAGGGGCAGGTGGGGACACTTAATCGAATTCGGCCGGACAGTCAAGCCATTGACAGACAGCCCCCGCGCTGCCGCTCCCGGCCGTCCCCGCGCCGCCGCCCGCCAACGCCAAGCCCCTGCGCCCGCCCGCCCCCTCCCCTCCCCGTCTTGTGCGCTACCGCGCCCGCCCCGCTCCTCCCCACCACACGGCCGCCCGGCCGACGCTTTTTCTCACACGCGCAGCCCGTGAGCGCCACCCCATCGCTACCTTCGTCTTCCCCAGCAGACGAGTCGAGGTCAGCGACCCCTACCCGATCTGCGTCTGAAGCACGCCGTCTCCTTCTGCTTTCTCGCCTCCAATCGCCGCAGCCACGACGACTGCGGCCGTGAGATGCGATGCCGGCCTCAAACCCGGCCCCGCCCATGCCTCTGCGTCGCTCGCAGGTGGTACTGCCCTGTCCCCACACCCGCCTCTCATTCACGGTGAACCAGCGTCGTCGGCACCGTCTGTTTTGCTTCAACTTATATGAACTACGTCCGATTAGTATTTGTTTTGCTTCAGCTTATATGAAGTATGGACGGATTGGTTGCTAATCCGCACCTACTTTCCAGGATTCCAACGTTGAAGCGGATTGGGAATGATCAAATATGAATGGATTCAGATCAACATTATAGGCCTGTCTTACCGATGGAGACCCTATTTTTTATCGCACGACATCTATGCAAAGTCAGGTCAGGGCTCCTATGTATTTCCAAATTATGCATCTATGTCCTGTTGTCTTACCTATCATCACGAATGGAGTTCAGTAGTAATCCTGCTGAATGATCCTTACTATTGTCATGCATATCTATTTTGATGCATTTCGTTATGACCAGTGCTGGAGGGATCCTGAGTTGGTCACAGATGTGTTTCTACAGGTCTTTGCTGACCTTCGTGTGGCCGCACAGAATTAATAATGCAGAGATAACAAGCATCCATGTTATTGTCCTTATCTGTTTATCTCCTCATGATTTTTCTACAGATCCATTAATCAGGTCTGCTCAAGCGACGTTCCCCAATCACGATGCTAAGATGAAGGTACAAATCCATTCTTTTTTTTTGCTACACAATCTCTTTTGCAGTGTACTATTTTTTCTTCAAAGCACGTACCCATGTGCCTATTCGACGTTTATATACTATTGCACTATTACCTGTTTATTAATTCAGGGTATGCCCTTCCTATGTATATGCTTGATGCATTCAGCTGGGCTAATTGACTCTGAAATCTGATTGCTCTAAGTATTACTTTACATTTTCATGGCATTGCCTTCGTGTATATACTGGAACTGAGTACATGTTAGTGTCAGTTCCAGTTGTACCATGAAAAAAATAGGGAAAAGCCACCTATCTTGCAGGGATGTCAATCCTGTAAGTCTAGGTTCAGTATTTTTCTACACTTAACCCATACTTCTAGATTATGATGCCAGAATAGTGACGTATAGGGTCTGCAAACAAAATCATTAAAATAAAATGCCACTTTCTGTTTTTCTTTGTTTCCTTACATTTACCTCCTTTCCATCTATCCAATATCTGAATGTTTGTTTTCTAACTTTCTAATTTGCCATTTCAATTGACGGTTGTGCTGGCAGTAGTCCAATAAATTGCGGCTCACCTGCTGATTGTACAGGAAAGTCATAAGGCCTTCCTTCTTTCAGTGCCACTTTCAGCTGATCATTCACTAGCTACCCACCTTATCATTTGTTTTGCATATTAAAGGTTCAGAGTGATAAGCAATTTATTGTTGAAAAGAAGGGCAATAGTTTGGCAATTGCACGGTTGTACCAAACCTGACCTCCTGCGATTTGCAGTCAGCGTCACAACATATAGAACATTAAGATTACACATTCAACTATAAGGTACCATGCATCCTTTCTAACCATGTACTTCTGTTATTCACCCATGTTTGATGCAGAAGAACCTATCCTAATTAACGCTGCTCATGTTTATTGAGAAAACAAAGATCACAAACCTTTCCTTGGTTTTATAGAACATCAAAGCATCAAACTAGTTATCACACAAATATGATTAACAACAGAAAACTGAGTTACTGTTGACACCCATTAAACTTTCGCAGTTCTGCTGAAGCATCCATGGTACTGAACTCCACAAAAATTATCAGATTTACCTTGAATTTTTTGCATAAAAAGCTGAAAGTTTAACTTAGGGACAATTTTTTGTCCATTGTGATTTTACTTTATTTTGTTAAGATCGTGATTTTGCACAGACACGTTTAACTGATTGTTTGGCTTTAAAGAATAATCAAATTTCTGCAGATGCATTAGAAATTGCTAATTGACATAACTAGAAAACTCTCCCAAACTACTAATCATAATATCCAATTGACTCCATTTTTGTAGAACTTTTTCAGATTATAACTTCATGCTGCTGGTCATCAATTGCCCATCCTTAGAATCCTATTATTTTATTTGAAGTTTCCATGTAGAGTAACTGAAACTTTTTGTTTCTCCTCATGTAACGTTTATCTAAGCTTATTTTGTGCGATCAAACTTTTTCAGGTATTGATTACTGAGTGATGTTGGGCCCTATATATGGCTATCGATTAATGGATCCATTGTCTCTTTGTGGCGCATCAAGTATGGTTTCTTTTGTATGTGCGATTTTATTCTAGGATCATTTCAAGTGCAGAATTGGCAATATATAATGTAGCTAGTTCAGTCTACTGGTTGTAACTGGTTTTTCAAAACATTTTATTTCGTTTGAGCTTCAAGTCGTGTGTGTATCTAATCAGCCATTGGACTCATGGGGTGATCATGTTGTTATTGGTACATTTTGCTACCATTTATTACCCTTTCGAATTAAGTGGACCTGGTCTCTTGCATATGTATCTTATATGTTTATCGCATGTATTCTTTTTTCGTGAGCACTAATATATCAAAAATACAATTTACAGTGCTATATGTCAGCTAGTGGTTGGTTTGCCACGGATATGCATATATATGTCAGCAAAGAATTTTTTTTAAAAAAAAATTCAAACTTTGCCGAGTGCCGGCCATAGGGCACTCGACAAAGAATTTTTTTTAAAAAAAATTCAAACTTTGCCGAGTGCCAGCTAGAGAGCACTCGGCAAAGAATTTTTTTTTAAAAAAAATTCAAACTTTGCTGAGTGCCGGCCACAGGGCACTCGGCAAAAAAAAAAATTTTAAAAAATTCAAACTTTGCCGAGTGCCGGCCAGAGGGCACCCGGCAAAGATTTTTTTTTAAAAAAAATCAAACTTTGCCGAGTGCCGGCGAGAGGGCACTCAGTAAAGAATTTTTTTTTAAAAAAAAATCAAACTTTGCCGAGCGCCGGCCAGTGGGCACTCGGCAAAGAATTTTTTTTTAAAAAAAATAAAAAATCTTTGCCGAGTGCCTGCAGGGTTGGCACTCGGCAAAGCCACCGTCAACGGATTCGGCACCGTGATGGTCGCTTTTCTTTGTCGAGTGCCCCCGAGACTCTCGGCAAAGCCTTTGCCGAGTGCCCGATAAAAGACACTCGGCAAAGAGTTCTTTGCCGATCAATTTTTTGCCGTGTGTTCTTTGCCGAGTGCCGCACTCGGCAAAGGCTTTGCCGAGTGCCTCAGGCACTCGGCAAAGAACCTGAATCCAGTAGTGTTTGCAATGTGCATATAGAATGAAAGATGATGTGGACAAATTAAAACATGGACATTCATTATTAAAACATACCGACATGTGAACACACATCGATACAACGCATAATGACTTCACAATTATGCAGAAAAAAAAAGCCAAAAAGTTGCTGAACGTGTGACTGAAGAAAAAGCCTCAAACTTTCCAATCCCCTTAGTTAGTCCTCCTGCAGTTCTTCCTGATCTCCCCAGCAGAGCCCGTCAACGGCGTAATGTCACCCATCTTGATCATACCCGTTACAAAATCCTTGAAAAACGCGCTCTGGCTACTAACATACGATTGCACTAGCGCGTCGGTGGCTCCACCGTTGAAGAGCTCTTGGTCAGAGTGTAGGAGCCCCTTCTCTTGCTGACGAGGTTGTTGTAGTAGTCGTTCTCAAAGACGGTAGGGGTTTGAAGGTCCAGAGGTGCCAAGTTGCTGTCACCTGTACCTGAGGTGCTCGGACAGCCTGATAGCCTTGTCCTTGCAAAGGCGCCGTCGATGTTGGTGTCGTTGTATATATGGCCTCTGAAGCTGGTGCAACGTGATTGGCCTATGGTGTGCGCACCTAGTAGCAAAATTAAGAAGCAACAAGTCATGACACAACATAGAGGTTTGTTTCACCTATATGTGAAGAAGAGAAGAGATGGTTAGTCATCCAGCTCTCGAGCCAAAACTGAGCTATCATCAACTCCGTTGGCGATATATAGTGTCTACCAGCTGTATTTATTTGAGAAGTATATGTAATGGTGCTTCTTTATTCTCTCACTCCACAGCACACTAGCACAGTTGATTTTTTTTCAAAAAGATGTCACTATAGCTAAACATGTCTAAGTAGCAATTATATTAGTATAAAAGTTATTTATTATATGTTCGGTTTGGAGAACGAAGATGACAAATAAAAGAATCTCTTTTTTTGTCTTTGAGAAGCCACCAATCGACAAGAAATTTACCAGACGTACGTGTTTGTTGTTTTTTGTTGTGGCAACCAGTCAAGTTTATGAAGAACTTGGAAATTTGTCGCCTTTTCCGCTTAGTAGGTAGTATATATATGATGACGTACACGTACGTATCAGAGAGCGCGACCATGTCCTTTTGGGAGAGGCCCTGCGCGGCGAAGAGCGACGTGAGGTTAGCAAGCCCCGACGTCGGCGGCGGGATGTTGTTGTTAGCGCCGCTGAAGCTCGCCGTCGTGGAGTCCCTTCTGCCCATCTTGACGTTCCAGCTCGGCCCACCCAGGATGACGACGCTGTCCCTGGCGGCGACGGAGAGGATGTCGGCGCAGGAGACGACGCCAGGACAGACCTTCTCGACGGCGGACTTGGCGGCGTCGATGACCTCGAACCCTCGGACGGAGCCGTTGTTGGGTTTCGCCGTCTTCTCGCCCTGGAAACTGGACGTGTCGTCCAGAAGGAGGGAGGCGTCGCAGCCCTGGACGAAGCAGTCGTGGAAGAAGAGGCGCACGATGGAGGCGCCCACGCGCTTCTCGTTGGCGATGGCGGACCGGACCACCGGCTTCACGGCGCTGTACAGGCCCGGGCACGAGGTGGAGTAGAAGCCCGTCGACAGCTGCGCCGACGTGGTGCCGGCCATGGCCATGATGATCAGCGTCGTCAGGAGCAAGAGGTGGCGGAGAGCTGTGCTGCGAGCATGCGCAGCCATGGTGGTGGCCGGCCGGTGATGAGGTAGTTAGACAGACGTGTATTACACTGCTAGCTAGCCACGCGCAGCAAGAGATATGCCGAGCAGAGTGTCCCTGGAGCTAGCTTGTGTAGCCTGGAGGACAGTGTGATATTTATAGCAGAAAAAACGGCCTGGACTTAGCTTGTATAGACGACTACAGTATTGTATGTATGTCTGAATCAAATATGCATGATTAGATTGCGTCATGATGGATTTATATATAGTAATAGTATATGTACATCTATCATCTCCTCACCTACTCCTTCCGTTGTGTTGGACTTTGAGTTGAAAAGCAAGCCATCGACGATCAAAGGCGTATAGATCTTCCGTGTTGGTGTTGGCCACACCAGGGATCGCGCGTTTTCACCTACATCCTAGCTAGCTCAACTGGCTGGTTTCGTGGTATACTCCCTCCATCCTAAGCTAAAAAAAATATTGTTTTCCAATGAATCTAGACATCGACTCCGCCAAACATTGTCGAGACAGGTTCGTTGACAAAGTGACGCGTAAGAGGGACTCTCTGCGTGAGCTTGCAAAGCAACCTCCTGCTAATTCAGTGATGCTGTCGTGGCTCAATCTCTTTCTTGAGTACCTACTTCCAAGCAAGATGAGATACTGATCATGCAGCGTATGAGCTTCACCGTACCAAGGGTCCATCAGCGCCATCCGCGTCGGAGCTGGAGGCCTATATATATGACAAGCTTTACGTACGACGGCAACCTGACTGCGTACGAAGCCGAAGCGCTGGACGAGCTCTTCCTGGCCCTTTAAAAGGGTTAATTCGGGAAGCCACGAAGCACCCAAGACTTCCTCCTAGGTTGCACCACTATGTCGGTATTGGTTGTTTCTTTTTATGTAAATCAAGAGACCTTTTAATTTGTTAGGATGGTTCAACTATGGTTATGTTAGGTTGACCTCATTAGGCATTCGATAGAAGCGTGTGTTGTTTGTTTTTCTAAACTCTTCAACTTGATACAATGATGCTCAAATTTTTTGCGTATTCGAGAAAAAGAATGAGAGTACGTACATCATACGTACATCATCATACCTAATGTTGTAGAGTACTTGAAGCACGTACAACTGGGTGCAAGCTATGGTAGTAGCGAAGCAGCTGAGCCAACTACTAGCTAGCTAGTTTCGTGTTGATGCTATAGTTGTTTGCCGGCCGGGCCGCCTCTGACTGTGAAAAAGCATCATCATCGTCATCATATCACACGTGTAGTCCAGGACAATACACGCAGGTAGCTAGCATGCAGTACGTTGTGGTCCGTGTGAATGAGAACACTTGCTTGAACTGCTTGTAGTGCCCAACAGCAAACTGCAAGCCGACACTGCACGTACGGTCGGTTAAGTAAAGCTACTCAGCCGGTTCGATCCTGGCCTTATTATTAATTAATTAATTAATCAATTAGGAACCGTACTTTGGTTAAGCAAAGCTGCCACACTTCTGCTTGCTTTACTAGCTTTTCAAAAAAGATACAATGTGCATGCAAGCTTGGGTTGCATTGAAAACACAAGCATACTCACCTAAACTAAGTTGGTACTGATAATTTTGAGTGTAATTACTACAAGGAACCTAAGCTCTGGTAATTTAGTTTTGGTAAACTGGAGGTTCTCAAGGATTAGTTCGCGTTTATCCTGCAAAGTCAGCGCGCATGCACCAGCTGGAATGGATCAATGCAATGGTCATCTACATGCATGATACAGACATGTACTATGGCACAAGGGATCGTTGCCGAGTGCTTGATCTTTGCCGAGAGCCAAAAGTCGGGCACTCGGCAAAGAGGATATTTGCCGAGTGCCGACTCTCGGTAAATCGGACTCTCGGTAAACTCAATCTTTGCCGAGTGTCAGACACTCGGCAAAGAAGGCCTCTCGGTAAACACATTCTTTGCCGAGTGTCCAACTCTCGGCAAATATGCACCCTCAGCAAAGATGGTCGCAGTGACGGCCGTAGCCCCCCTGTCAGCTTTGCCGAGTGTCGGCCATTAGCACTTGGCAAAGACATAGCACTCGACAAACTTATAATTCCATTTTTTTGCCCAAGAGCAGCCAGTTCCCAGGGCTGGCCAGCTTTGCCGAGTGTCCGAGGCATGACACTCGGCAAAGACTTAGCACTCGCCAAACTTATAATTCCATTTTTTTGCCCGAGAGCAGCCAGTTCCCAGGGCTGGCCAGCTTTGCCGAGTGTCTGAGGCATGACACTCGGCAAAGCAGTGCTAAAATTAATTTTTTTTGTTTTCCACATTTTATCCAATCAAACATGAATATTTATACAATATATATTGCCAACACCACATATATATCACCACAAGCACATATATCACAACCATTCATCACAAATATATCTTAAGTTCACAACCACAAGTTCAAATACATCACAAGTTCACAAGATTTACAACCGAAGTTCACAACCATAAAGTTCACAACCAGAACTGCTCGCAGCGAATTGACAACCAAAGTTCACGATAAAGTTCACAGAGGATGGGCAGGTAGTCGTGGCATCAGGCACAGCTTTCTTGAGTGCTTGCCGCTTCAAGTGTCTCCTCATCTTTGGATTTAGTTTTCGTCATAGCTGTAAAGGAGTTGTGTTAGCAAAGAGACGGCTGGGCAAGTTCTATTGTTTTAATTGGACAGTGTTATAGATATGGATTGAAGTTCAACTAAATATACCCTTGTGAGGAAACTTTATGCGTGGCACCCTCGAAGTCGCTATCTGGTGTGAAAACTTCTTGGGGGCCTGTTTAGATGCCGAAAAATTTGACAAAATGACACTGTAGCAGTTTTCATTGTTATTTGGCAATTAGTGTCAAATCATAGTCTAATTAGGCTTAAAAGATTTGTCTCGTGGATTTCGTCTAAACTGTGTAATTAGTTTTATTTTTTATTTATATTTAATACTTCATGCATGCGTTAAAGATTCGATGTGACGGAAATCTTGAAAAATTTAGCATTTTGGGAGGGAACTAAACAGTACCTTGGTTGATGAGTTGGGTGGCATCTGGTGGTGTGTCCGGTACTACGCTTCCACCTGATGATGATGAGTCGGAGGATGAATCGGAGGGCCTTCGTGCCGTTGTGGTTGTCGGCCTTCGTGCCGTTGTGAATGTCGACCATCGTGTCGTTTTTTGCAGGTTTTGGAAACCTCCCCGTGCAGGGGAGGTGCTGCCGAAATTTTGAACAAAAAATAACCTATTGTCTTTTTATGCAGGAGAAGAGTACGTCGGAGGGGACCCGGAGGACCCCGATCGTCTTCGTCGACGTCGCGTCTGCTGCCTGCCTCGCCATGCCCATCTGCGTCGATTTGCCACTGCCCCGCTAGCCTTACTTCACCGACACCCTTGGTATAAATAACCTCTTTTTGCGCATGTCTGTCGTAGCCCGCGCGTAACCTAGTTAGGCGTCTCCTGTCCGAAAGAGATACGGTCGTAGGTATGCGGATCTTTGCGTATCTGCGAGCGTATCTGTTTCGGATTGTCCACGTTTTTTGGACAGCCCATGGATGCGTAGATGGGTTAGTTTCCATGGTCCGCTCCGGTCCGAGAAGGAGTTTGGCAACACCTTCCTGTTGTTCTCCGGATACACACTCTCCCTTGCGGGGCGTGTATCGGGAGAACAACGGGAGGTGCTTCCAAATTTGCCTCTCGAGAAGAGCGAGCATGGAAACGACCTCATCTACGCATCCATGAGGTGAGATTAGGACCTATCCTCACCTATTAGATAAAGAGGAACACCGCGTAGATGCAATTGATGGTCACAATACTCTATCTTTGTAAATGTTAAAGGATGGAGGACCGTCGGGTGGATGTACACGGGCTGGAGAAGCGGGAGTGACTACGACTATGAATGGGTGAAGGGACATATGGTTTCTTGAAACATGCATTTGGCCCGTAAGGAGGACATTCTCTAGTTTGGTGTCCCTGCAGCAAATGTGACAACAGGAGAAAAGTAGACGAGAAGACCATGGGTAGACATCTTGTGTTCAATGGTTATACGCCTGGCTACCAGCAGTGGATCTACCATGGTGAAGCAGATCGTATAAGAGCGGAGGTGGTGAGAGCATGCCTCGAGGCTTTTGATGATGATGCCGGGGTAGCAGACATGCTAGATGATGCCCACCAAGCTCACTTCGCTGAACGACGTGAGAAGGAGGAGATGGAGGAATCCGCGAAGGACTTCTACAAAATGTTGGACTCGGCACAGAAACCCCTTCACGAGCGTACATTGATTTCTCAGCTAGATGCGATTGGACGCGTAATGGGGTTGAAGGCCGAGTTAAACCTGAGTCGAGAAGGCTTCGATAAGATGTTGGCCGTGTTTGGCACCATGCTACCGGAGAAGCACACTTTGCCGACGAACTTGCACGAGGCAGAGAAACTCCTTCGTATGCTTAAGATGTCGTATGACAAGATACATGTTTGTCTGAAGGGGTGCATCCTATTTAGGAAAGAACACAAGGATGCAAATTACTGTCCGAAGTGTAAATCCTCCAGGTACCTGGAGGTAGACTCTGGTGATGGTCAGAAGAAGCAGCTTCCGATCCCCACGAGAGTGCTACGTCACCTTCCTTTCCTACCGAGGATCCAACGGCTATTCATGACTGAGGAATCCGCGAAACAGATGACATGGCACAAAGATGGCAAACGGTACAATCACAGGAAGATGGTACATCCGTCTCGATGTCTTTGAAGCATGGACGTATTTCAATGACAAACATCGTGACAAAGCAAAAGGAGGCTCGTAATGTACGTGTCGCTACCGGCAATGTATGGGTTCAATCCTTATGGAATGATGGCTGCCCCATACACATGCTGGCCCGTTTTGTTATCCCCTCAATCTCCCTCCGGCATCTCCTTTCAACGGCATAACGTATTCTTGTCATTGATAATTCCCCGGACACCCGGGAGTAATATGGGTGTGTTCATGGAGCCTGTGATTGATGAATTGATCCACGCTTGGGAGAAGGGGTATGGACATAC